AGGAAAAGTCCCATCACAGGTGACAAGCCCTGATGGGGATGTATCATCTGCAGGCTTCGAAGGAAGGGGCCTCCAAAGGCCAGATGCAGGAGAGGGGGGGGATCAAGAGACAGGTCTCTCATTGTCTCCTGTGCTCCCAGAGGCATCTGGTGGGGGCTACTGGGAGATACAGGGAGCTGGACTAGAGGAGCCCTTGGCTGGATCCAGCCAGGCTCTTCTGATGTTCTTATAATACGTTGAACTACTTCCACAGCCACTGTTGCAAGAGCTAAAAGGGCCCATCTGACGAGACGCTAACTTCTTCTGATTAAGTCTTGATGGGAAAATATGGCCATATGTGAAACAAACACGCTTTCAAAGAAAGAGAAATAATACAACTGGGAAAAACCCAACAGGAAGGAATATTTTGTTAGGGGGAAAAAACGGATGGGTGACGGCTCCTCCACCCAACTCCTTCAGTGTCGTCCTCCCGGAAGGCAGAGGAAGGGAAATGAGCCTCCCTCTGGTCTTCTGCAGGTGAAGAGTCTAGTGAACTGGACTCCACCAAGGGCTGGCCCATAAATGTATTCATTTATTTCATCTCGAGTGAATGTGTGCTCACTTCCTTCAGCCTTCCCCCCTCATTCAGAGGAAGACAAATCAAGCTGGATCTTCAAGATCCCACCTTGTCAGGGCTTAATGTCCTTGATAAGATCCAATTAAAAAAAAAAAAACCCAAGCCAAACCACCATTACACGGGGAGTGGGACATCACCTAAGGTCCTGAACTTGTCAGGTTATTAAGATATGAATGAAGCCAAGGCCGTCCTCCCAAATGCACAGAGGCCCGCCTTGTCAGGCACATGGGAAGCGGCTTCGTCTGATGCATTTACACCCAAATGATGACTGGCTCTCTTGGCATTCAGAAAAGATTTTAAGCAAAACCTCTTACACTGAGCCTTTTGAATTAATCTTGATGTTTTATGTTTCAATGGTTCCGTAGCTGGGCTTTTTTTCTTTTATAACTGCATATTTTATTTACAATTATTGTGAACAAACTAGTTTATTTTTTAAAAAAACAAAAAGGTGGCATATAAACATTGATAATAACCTATGTTTCCAAATATTTAGACTGGGAAATTTTATGCTGCATTGATTTTAATTATGTCGGAGTTAAAGGTCAAAGTAAATTCATTTCCAAATAAATAAGTATGTACATACAAAAATCTCCTGCTTATTTCCTCTCTCTAGTATAAACTGTCAAATAAATGCCTGTGGGAACATTATCTCCCACCCCGTATAGTGTAACTTGAAATTCTAGGCATGTTATTATGTGTCAGGACTTCAAAAATTTTTCTA